GTAACTCTGGGGTGTCAAGCCATGGAGGAATTCCTGGCGTCTTAGGGAGCCAAGCCTCAAGATCTCTCTGCCTCTGTTCACTGCCCAGGTTTCCTTTTCGTCCATTCTAGGACAGAATTCTAGTGGGTGTAAGGGGCTGTGGGATGGGGTGTCTGGAGCAGTCCTAGGTCCTGGGATGGGAGAGCCTCGCTCGGGATGGGGCCAGGCCAGGCTGCCGCTTATCCTGATGCCACCCTGCCAGTGCCCCCTCCGGACCTAAGCCTTGAACTTGGCGCGAGGGTGACCACTTGACCCACCCTGGCCTGGCCCTTGGAGCCCTGACAACGGGGTGGATGTGTGGTAGGCACCTCACCTAGACTCAGTCTGGAGAGATTAGCCCACAAAAAATCGGGGCGTTTTTTTGTTTCCCTGGTGGGCTGCTTGTGGCAGTGTTGGCAGTAGGCAATGAAAAGCTGTTGTATCGTTGCGAACTGTCTTTTCAAAAACATTGGGGAGCACAGGATACGGCTGTGTGTTTATACAGGACAATGGAAGCTTCTGAAAATCAAGTCCCCAGCTTTGCCCAGCATGGTCTGGGTCCTGTCTGAGGTTTCCTTGTGTCTTCTGAGACTGTGCTGGGGGCTATGGGTCAAAAATCCCAGGCCCCAAGAGATTGGAGGGGTCGTTCCTAACACCGGGGTGCAGGTGGCTGGGGAGAGGGTACAGGCATTTGGGGGGCACTCCAGGAAGGGGCCCTGGGCTATTGGGTTTTCAGTTCTGATACCAGCCCTTTCCTTCAGCCTCCAGAAGGACCCCACATGGAATCCTGCTTTTTCTCTCTTTGTCCCAGGAATAAGAGCTGGCAAAAATATAGGAATGGTAGCATGTGAAAGCAGTCGTGTGGCCAAATTCTACCAGCATGGGACAGTTTTTAGGGGGTTGGATGAAGAGGAAGAGAAAATTCTGGGGCAAATGGAGCTGCATAGGCAGAGCTGAATCAAATTTTTACCCTGCCATTTTTTCCCCCCAAGTAATGACCTGCACAAAATTCAATATGACCCAGCTACCACTGCCTGCTAGTGGGGGAGGCCTGGAGAGGGGTGAACCGCAGGTCACGGCGTCTAAAAAATATTAAAATGTTCGAGAGCCTTGGGACGCGCCTAGCTGTTTAACAAAGACTGCCAAAGTATGAGATTAATACGAAAACTTGCGTTTCAAAAACAAAAACACTACCGCCAAAAAAAAAAAAAGGCTTGTTCCGGTCTCCTCTGAGGGGGTCCTTGGCTCCTATGCGGTCCGGTATTCCGGACACATGACAGTGGACGAGAGCGAGCTCAGCTGTGGCCAGCAGGTCAGCTCAGCTGTGGCCAGCAGGTCCGCAGGCCGACAGGGCGCGGGTAGCGGCAGGGTGAGTACGGTCTGGCCCACTCGGCTCCGGGCCCTTCCACTCCTCCGCGCGGCTGGCGGCGCGCGGGACCGCTGCGACTGGCCATCGCCTGGCCCGTAGGTTTGTTTCCCTGCTTCTCCGCGTTCGCCTCCTCCTGGCCTAAACAGGGTGGATAACTGCCCCCGGGCTGAGCACACACCCGGAGCGGGGCTAGGCAGCGAGGGGTCACGCCCGCAACCTGTGGCTGCGGGGAAAAGGCGGCCTGGAAGCCGAGGAGCGACCTCGAGGGCGCAGGGAGGTGATTGGGGACGCACACAAGTGCCAGCTCCTCTCTTTCTTCCTTCCTTCCTTCCTTCCTTCCTTCCTTCCTTCCTTCCTTTCTTTCTTTCTTTCTTTCTTTCTTTCTTTCTTTCTTTCTTTCTTTCTTTCTTTCTTCCTTCTTTCTTTCCTTCCTTTCTTTCTTTCTTTCTTTCTTTCTTTCTTTCTTTCTTTCTTTCTTTCTTTCTTTCTTTCTTTCTTTCTTTCTTTCTCTCTCTCTCTGTCTCTCTCTCTCTCTTTTTAACCATGCTTGTTGCAGTTAGGGTCCTTCTGTGGTGGAAGGGAGAGGGAGCCAGCAGCTCCGCTGAGATCTGGCCAGGGAGTTGCGACTGGGACACGGGAAGCGGTACGTCCGGCTTCGGTGGGACTGGCAGGTGTCCGCTGTCAGCAGACTTGCAGGAGACAATCTCTGTGGCGCTTTTGCCTCGGGACCAAGCATACCAACCCCGCAGGGGCTCGGCTCTGCATTTCTCTTGAGATGTGCCAGGCACCTGGGCCGTATTCCTTGTTTAGTGTACTAGGGCTGAGAGGCACAGGGAGCAGCAGCCAACGGCCTCCTGAACCGGGGGGCTGGACCGATTTGCTGTTGTCGGGAGAAAGAAGGAGTCGACATAGGATGGGGGAGGGGCTGGCGGTTGGAGTGGGTCCTGGAGCCCCTGGGTGGTCTGTGAGAAGATTTGGGAAGGTCCTTGCTTGATGCTAGGAGCTGGTGACAGGGAGGCAGGCTCCAGTCTACCTGGGGGTTGGACCGTCGTCTCGTTTCTTGAGGATACCTGCAGTGTCATCGCTCTCCTCCCATTACATATTGCGGCTGGATGGGAGGCTGTTGATGTTACCAGTCAGGGGCAGAGACCTGTGTTAACACTGCCTCGATCTAGGGTCGATTTGCAGGGTCTCTGCATGGAGCTGCAGGCAGGTGGTAGGGCTGCTGCTCACCTGGAGACGGGCAGAGGCTGTTGTAGCCTGGTGGTTAGAGAATGGTCTTCGTGGAGCTTCTGTAGGTGTTATTGCCTCTGCTCCGGTTCAGGCCTGCTTTAGGGGCAGCAGGTAGTTCTCAAACCCAGGGAAGTGGGAGGGTGTGTGGGGAGGAGGCTTCAGGGTGCACTTTCCTTTAGCCTGTTACAGCTTTCCCAGTCTCAGAGTGGTCCCTCCAGCCCAGTCCTGGCCGCCCAGGTTAGTCAACCCAGCAGTTGCCAGGAGCCTTCCCCATTCTGACCCCACCACCTCCAGCCACCAGAGCAGGTGGCTGGGCCCAGTTAGCTAGTTTAGACTGCGTGCACACTGGGGAGGTAGGAGGAACCACCTGGGGACTGTGCCCTTCTTGTGGTCCCCAGGAGGTGTGGGAGGGTGGGAGGGGCTGACCCATCATCTGGCCCCATCTTTTGTGGTTCCTCCATTGCCCTTCATTCGGAAATGAGACGCTTTTGATCTTTTTCTCAGGTTGTAAACAGAATTGCCTACCATTAAATTTCCGAGGGCCCCCCATCTGCTTGGTCTCCCAGCATTTTTGTTTACAGCTGTTTCTCTTTCTTTTTACCATTGAATTTTTCCGAAAGGACTTTTATTACACCCCCTTCACACCCAGCTGTCTCCCTCCTCCCTTAGCCGAGAGGCGCTTTGAAAAATATCGAGATATTCGTTTGATCACAAACTAAAGACTGCAAAGGGCACAGAGAAACTGATTGGGGGTTTTGTTTTTTTCTTTAAGAAGAAGAAGAAGAAGAAGAAGAAGAAAAAACCCCTGTAAGTCCTGGGGGAGGGGAAGGACTGGAGGGCACCCAGAAGGGCCTAGTTCTGACTGGAGCAGCCTCAGGATGACCCTTCCTCCTTTTGTGCTTAGCTAATGTTTACATCTCATAATTCATGCGCCCCCGAGAGTTGCGCAGTAGGGCGAGGCGCCCGTCCCTTTGCGGACCGACTGCTTCTATTTCTAAGGGGGGGACTTGAAAAAACCTCCTAATGCCCAGAATGGACCTGCAGTGCCTTTTTTTTTTTCCCCCTTCTGCTGCCAGGGCTCAAAACTAGAACAAATCGAAATAAAACCAAAGCGCTCAAACCACACCCCAGAGGAAGAACGCGTGGAAAGTAGAACTGCAAAGTGTCTGGGCCAAGAAGATCTGTCTGTCTTCTGTATATACCCTGTAGATCCGAATTTGTGTAAGGAATTTTGTGGTCACAAATTCGTATCTAGGGGAATATGTAGTTGACATAAACACTCCGCTCGTGTTTTTTTTTTTTTTTTACCCCCCAGAAGATAAAAAATCCATGCTGTCTAAGCAAGGACAAGCCAGAGGCTGAGACGAGAAGACACCTTCCTCGTCCTTGGCCTTTTTTGCCTTTCTTTCTTTCCTCTCTTCTGCTCTCCACCTGAGATCCCCCACGCCCGCCTTTCCCTCTCCCTCTCCGAGGTTCAGGTTGGTGCTGCTGCTGTGTCTGTGCACCAGGTCTACCTATCTTCTGTTCTGGACTCAGCCAGGCTTTACTGAAGAGTTAAAAAAAAAAAAATGACTGTTGTTTCCAGAGTGGGAAGTCAAAAGCACATTTCGCTTTTCAAGCTGGTGGCGAGGCCGCCTTTCGGTTTGGGTTCGGAACAAAATGCGCCGGCAAGACGCGGTTCCCAGGGAGCGTTATTGTGTGTGCGGGTCACTTCCAGGGCGCCTACCCCCAGGTCTACATGGTTGTGAGACTAATATTCGCCGCGGAGGCGGCGACGGCATTAGCGGCAATTACAACGTCTGGGCGCCACGGTTAGTATTGCTCCGTTAGTTCTGGAATTAGCAAATTGCTATTCTTCAATTTGCTCTCCAAAGTTGCAAGTGTTTCTTTTCTTTTTTCTTTTTTTAAAATTCCGTCTTCAGTATGGGAAACCATACTGGGTCTGGGTGGAGTAGGGCTAATAAAGGGAGGAGTGGATAGCAGTAGGCGGATGGACAGACTGACCGATACAGCCTCGCTAATAGCGCAGCTACACGCGATTTGCAAGGCGAGGTCTCCCCGAATTAGTGCCTGAATTTCCTATCGATCCGCTGGCGGTTCCATTCATCTCTGACAAGTCCCTCGCGCACCCGCCCTCCAGCTCCCCACGCCTCCTCTCTCACCCCCACCCCTCCCCATCCGACTGCACAGAAAAGCCCCAAGCTCCGCGCCCCTCGCCCCCAATGGGTCCCCCTTTCAAGGCGGAGCACCCTGCCCGCCCGTCCCTGCACTGCTCCTCCAGCCCCAGCAGGCAAAGGCAGGCGGCCTGAGCTCCCTCCAGCCCCGCCAGGCGGGACAGAGATAGGAGACTACGGAAGGCAGAGGATGTTGGCAGTCAGGAGGCCGGGCTGGAGGGGCTACGCCGGGATCCCCGACATCCAAGGGACTCGGGGCGTCGCGCCCTGTCCGGCGCCCCAGCAGGCCCTCGGGTTGCAACCTGCTGGTTCTGGTGCGCTCCCTTGGATCCGGACGGGCGAGGAAGGGGGTCGCCCCTCAGGACAGCCCTATGTAAATCCCGGTGCTGGGTGGGTGGGTGGGGAGGGGGGAAGCGAAGAAGGGGAAGTAAACCTCTTTGGCTGGAGTGGGGTCCGGGTGAGCAGATTTCCTTATCCGGGAATCGCAGGCGGGGCGGCCATTGGCTCGGAGGATCACGTGGGGCCCTAACTTTGTTCACTTGACAGTAAAGTAGGAGGGCTTTCGGAAACAGGAAAACGAGTCAGGGGTCGGAATAAATTTTAGTATATTTTGTGGGCAATTCCCAGAAATTAATGGCTATGAGTTCTTTTTTGATCAACTCCAACTATGTCGACCCCAAGTTCCCTCCCTGCGAGGAATATTCACAGAGCGATTACCTACCCAGCGACCACTCGCCCGGGTACTACGCCGGCGGCCAGAGGCGAGAGAGCAGCTTCCAGCCGGAGGCGGGCTTCGGGCGGCGCGCGGCGTGCACCGTGCAGCGCTACGCGGCCTGTCGGGATCCAGGGCCCCTGCCGCCGCCGCCTCCGCCGCCGCCGCCCCCGCCCGGGCTGTCCCCTCGGGCTCCCGCGCCTCCACCCGCCGGGGCCCTCCTCCCGGAGCCCGGCCAGCGCTGCGAGGCGGTCAGCAGCAGCCCCCCGCCGCCTCCGTGCGCCCAGAACCCCCTGCACCCCAGCCCGTCCCACTCCTCGTGCAAAGAGCCCGTCGTCTACCCCTGGATGCGCAAAGTTCACGTGAGCACGGGTGAGTGCGTGGGCTCTCTTTCCCCCTCCCATCCCTGGCGCTTTACACGAAGGGGACCTCCGAGGCTGATTTGGGAGGGGGGCGGGTACCGCGGGTGTTGGGAGAAGCCAGTTGTCCCCGCTATAAACTCGCCATTGCTGGAGATTTACGGTCGCCTGCTTTCAGAGTCACATCATTACATCCCCCATAAATTTTTATGGCCTGGTGGGCCCCGCGCCTTTGAAGTCGGTTCCCCATCCTCTTGGCCATTCTTAGCAGAGACTTCCCCCACCCCCCACCAGGGAGAGGCAGTTGCAGTGAAGTTGGGAGTTGAGGGCTGGAGGAGGTGAGAGGAGGAGGAAGATGAAATCCGAACTTAAGCAGAGTTGAGTCAACCCCTGATATGTGTGTTTTTCCTTGCATCCAGTCTGCCTCCTTGGTTGGACAAGTCCGCAAAAGTTTTTGTTTTGTTTTGTTTTTCAACCGGGTGCAAGCACTGCTTGGAATCTGGGCGGCAGTAAGGGAGCTTGGGGACTAGACAGGAGATAGGGCCGGTACAAACCTGGGGCCGGATCCCTTGCCCCCTCCCCAGACCCCACCGGGACCACGACACCACGGGGCCACAACTTTGAGGTCTACATCCATCTCACTTGGCCCCCGCAGTCCTCCTGAAATGGTCCTCACACTGAGCCCCACCACCCGCTCCTCGCCCCCGCCCCCATTTGCAGGGAGAAGTGGTGGTGGGGGAGGGAGGGAGACCCCGACTGCTGGAAGGAATGGCTACTCCCTCCTCCCTTTCGGGGGCAATAAAACTTTCTCTCTCTCCCTCTCTCTGTGTGTGTCCAGTAAACCCCAATTACGCCGGCGGGGAGCCCAAGCGCTCTCGGACCGCCTACACTCGCCAGCAGGTCTTGGAGCTGGAGAAGGAGTTCCACTACAACCGCTACCTGACCCGGCGCCGGAGGGTGGAGATCGCCCACGCGCTCTGCCTGTCCGAGCGCCAGATCAAGATCTGGTTCCAGAACCGGCGCATGAAGTGGAAAAAAGACCACAAGTTGCCCAACACCAAGATCCGCTCGGGTGCCACCGCGGGTGCCGCTGGAGGACCCCCAGGCCGGCCCAACGGCGGCCCGCCGGCGCTCTAGGGCCACTCCCCACCTCCCCGGCGTCCACCACCATGGCCAGGCGGGAGCCGTGGACCTCGGGCCAGGGGTGGGCAGCGAGCGCAGGGGGAGGGGATGGGGGGCCTGGGCCCGGAGAAGCCTCCCTTTGCCCTTCTCCCCTGCCCCCGCCCCCACCCCCACTTTATCCGAGTAGGAATAAGCGCAGAGAAAGCTTTATTTATAGAAATGACAATAGGGAGCCGGGCGAGCCCCCTCCCACCCCATCCCCCACCAGAGACAAGGTTCAAGTCTCTTGCTCTCTTCCTTTAAAAAAAAAAAAAAAAAAACAACAATACAAGAAGAAGGAAAGAAGGAAGACAGAGAGAGACAGAAAGAGAAATAGGAGGAGGCTCCAGCTTCTGTTTCCGGCTTTGGCGAAGATGGATCCACGTTTCATCCTTAATCACGCCAGGCCCCGGCCCATCTGTCTTGTTTACTCTGCCGAGGAGAGGACCGGCCTCGGCGGCCACCATTACCTCGACACCCGCTAACAAATGAGGCCAGGCCTGCCGCCTCTGCTGCCGCCGCTCCTCCAAGACTGCCTGGATTCCCCTTCTTTGTCCCCTAGTCCCGACACCCAGCGCCAGCACCCCGTGCCTGCCAGATAGCGCCGTGTTTTTGGCCACGGTAACAAACACACACAGCTTCCCACCCGCTCCGTGCAGGGGGGTGGGGTGGGGTCGGGGCAAGACCATTGACCACCTCCCCACCGCCACCCGGGCTGGACAGGAAGGGGACCAGGGGTGGGCTGGGGTGCCGGGTCTTGGCAAGGGGCAGAGAGAGCGCCTTGGGGGCAGGGAGCTAGGGAGAGACCCTGGCGGCCGGCTAGGCCCTGGGAGCTGGGGCAGTCCTTGTTTCCTAGACAGTCGTGAATGTGAAGTGAATGTCCCCCTCCCCCTAGGCGGAGGGGACCATGTGGCAGAGTCCTCAGAGTCTATCTTTGTTGCATTGTTTATTATTAATTATTATTATTATTAATATTATTATTCCTATTATTTTGTGTCCTCTACTCCCATTGTCTTTCTGACATTCCAAGCCCCGGAGGTGGGCCTGCTCCCACCTACCAGGCTGCCCAAGTCTAGAACCTCTCGTGGGTGTCAAAATGTGTGTCGTGTACAGAGTGACAATAGAAATAAATGTTTGGTCTCTTGTGAGCAGCACGGCGTGTTTTTGTTGAAGCCTTTGATGTCATAATATGGACCAATGCCACCCTGGCTCAGACCCCTTAAGCACCCTAGTGGGTTCGGCGGGGGGGGGCCCCACGTTGTACGGTGGAAACTTCCTTTTTTCTTTCTCTCTTCCCCCAAGTGTCTGCTGGGAATTTCTCTCAGAGGATTCCAAATTTGTGGGCGCTGGTTTTGTTTTCGTTTTGGGGTGGGTGTGTTTTGTTTGGGGCTTTTCATTTGGCACCCCCCCCCAACTCCTCCAGTCCAAAAATGGATTGAAAGGACTGGGAGGGCTGATTCTGGTCCCTAATGGGGAGGGGGGGGCAGCAAGCGGAGAATGTTTCATTGTAGGACACCAGAGGCTTAAGTACGGCAAAGCCTTTCATATCATGATTTATTTGTCATAAGCAAATAAAATGCGGTTAAGCTGTCTCCCTCTAGACAGACGGCTCTTTGGTTATTAAAGTTCCGAGAGAGGATTCCACCAGCCTGGCCTCTTTCCTCCCCGTACACAAGGTATCGCTTTTCTCTGAGGTGTTTAAGGCTTTAATGAGTCTAATTTTTTGCACAGATGTTTCTGGGTGTTTGCAGGTTTTCAGAGTATTTTTATATTACAAAGGAGCGAGCCGGTGCCATAGCTCAAACTCTGACAAGCAAATAGATAATCAAGAAGACAAATGGCCTCTTTTGTGAAGCCTTACTCCTGTATTAATTTTCATTTTCTTTCTCATAGCGAGTATCGAAAGTAGGACTGGGGAGCAAATAGCTTTCTTGTCTCTGAGGTCCCAGTCACCCCTAGATTGAAAAGGGGTACGGGTGACCCTCAGAAGTCATGCCAGGCTCAGGAGACTTCTGGGCAGCTCTGCTGAGAAGTTCTAGGGTCTGGGAGCGGGCTCCAGCCTGGCATGGAGTGGGGGTTGGGGGTGAGACTGGTCCAGCGGTGGTCCAGCATGCCAGCCACCCCTGCCTCTAAAACAAGAGTCTATGATTACAAATCGTTGGTTTTTCCTGCTCCTGTGTTCTTTTCGAAAATAAAGAGTGCTAATCCCACCCGCAAATTTTATTGTCAGCTAGGGTTGTGTTTCTCTTTTGCTCAGCATGGCAGTAACTGGAAGCTGGCTAGGGACGTGGTATAGAGGGTGCCGGAGTTCCTGGCTGCGGGAAGGGGCCCAAATCAATGTAGCTCGGTTGGAAAATCTATTTAAAAAAAAAAAATCATCCCAGCCCTGGAGGGTTTGAGGGGGCCAGTTTTGTTGCTGTCCGTGACTTGGGGGTGATGTTCCAGTTGGGGGGGGTGGTACAGCGACAGCCCGTAGTGGAGGGGGAAAATAGTTCTTAAAAAGCAGGTGCCCTCCCCCCAATGTTTCTAAAGAACCAAATCAAAGCTGCGCCTTAAAAGGTATGAATAGAATCAGAAAAAGAGAGAGGAGAGAGATTTCTATGGAGCTTAAAGTTCACAGTCATTCTCTTTAAGACAAGAGCTAAGAAAAATGTGAGAATTATACAGAAAACCATTAATCACTTCTTTTCTTTAAATACGTATCCTCTCTCCTTTGTTATTATTCAACAGCAAATCTCCGCAGACCGGCTGTTGGGGGAAAAAAGTGTTAGCCGCTTCTCCCGGATCTGCGAGGGGGAAAAAATTTGGAGCCATAAAGTTGAAAACTTTTTTCTCTCAGTTTGGAAGAAGCCGCTCGCCATGAATGGGACCGGCGGAGCTGGAGCGACAGCAGGCGCGGAGCGGTGCGGAGGTAACAAAGCCGCCGCCTGGCGGGTCCCGATCGTTTTAGGAGCCCTTTTCACAAGCCAGAGAAGACCCTCACTCGCCACCCCCTTTCTCTTTCTGTGTTCTGTGGTGGGATATTTTATGGCGTCCCCTTGGGCAAGTTGTCTGCCTCTTTATGACGACTCCTTGGGTCCAAGGGGGGGAACTTGGCCGAGGAAGGGGGGACACCTGGCTAGTGAGTGTTGGCTATGGCTGGGTTGAGGCGTCAGGGCCCCCCAGAGACTCCCCCAGAGAAGGTTATCTGTGTGGCCCACTCAGAAGCACTTTTCTGGCTCTGGAAAATGCAGGCTGGCTGGCTGGGAGAGCCACCCCACGCGTGTGGATGTGTGTGTGTTTGCACGCGTGTATGTCTGGCAAAGCTCCAGTGTGGCCTGCGTGTTCCAGCACCTCTGTGTGCGCTGAGGGGTGTGGGTCCCCCCTGTCTGGTTCCTGGTGAGAAGTTGTTGTTACTGCTACTCTCTGGAAAACCTGGCATTTGATTCTTGGTTGCAGTGCCCCAGCTTTGGAGCGGGCATAAGTAGACGCGGTTCTCATGTCTTTTGTTGTCCAGCTTGGGATCCTAGGCAAATATGTGCTTCTGTCCGGAGCGAGACGGACGCTGCTCGCCTCACAGGCGAGACTGGTTGGTGCAAACATACACATTCCTGCTCCAGGAGGCGCTGGGTTTGGTTTTGCTCTCTGCCTTTGGGGGTTTCGCTTCTGGGGGCCCTGCTTCTCAGGCTGGGAAGCAGACAGGGGCTCCACAAGAAACCTGAATGTGCTGGGTCTTTTTCCCTGAGGCCCCGCTTAGGGTTTGGAGTGGGAGGCTGGCAGGAGAGAGAGTTCATGGAGAGGCCACGTTTTCTAGGCGATTAGCTCAGTATTAGAACCGCAAAATGACCTCGGAAGCCCCTTGACCTCTCTGAGACTGGACATTGTGCTGGCTGCTGCCTCCTGGCCAGGAGGGACAGTCACACCTCTGCAGGATAGGCTCTTAGGGCTGTTCTACCTCCCATCCCTCCTTCACCCTTTTGTCCCTAAACCCTTCTCTGCTGTCTTTGGGTTTCGGCATTACTTGTGTGTGACTGTCCACTGGGAAGAAAACTGTGCATTTCAGTGCGAGGGTCCTCTTAGGGGAGAGAAGTGGGGTGCTGGACTGTGTACACAGCCCCTTTCTGAAGCCAAGCTCCTACCCCACCCCTACCCCTGCCCCAAGTCCGGCTTATCACGCTCTCAGCCAAGGAGCTGAGGACAGACAAAGCGATAGGGAGGATGTGAACAGCGGAGAAACTGGAGCCCCAGGACTCCAGGGGGTTCCCACATCTCTCCAAATCTGCAGCTTCTCCAGCCATTTTCTGAAGCTCCTTTGTATAGGAAGCTGTTTCTACCTTGGTCCCCACCCCTGCCCCGCTAGCCGGTGGAGTCCTTGCGAGGTGTCACCCCCCTTTCTCCCAGAAGCAGAGGTGGGGGAGGGGATTAGGGCAGGTTACTCTGGTTGCTTGCCAGGGCCAGCTCTGCTGAGTTCACCAAAGTTTTCAACTTTACTCTCAAACTTTTTGTTTGGAGACACGGATGAAAGATTTTTTTTTTTTTAAGGTGAACCTCAAAGGTGGAGCCCTTCCAAATCTGTGTGCTGGATGGATGCTGGGTCTTAAAAGTCCACAGCTGGAGGCGTCCTGATAGAGAGAGGTGTGAGTGTGTGAGAGGGATGCTGGGAAGAGGAAAAAGGCCTTCAGGTTGAGACTAAATGGAGACAGGCCTCTCTGGGATGTGTGTGGGGTGTTGCATTTTGTCCGTTGTTTCCTGCCATTTGGGAAGTACATGTCATGAAAGAAGTAATTGGAGTGATTGGGGTCTTCTTTGTTCCCAGTGGCCCCTAGAGGCCTCAGGAGGGACTGGGAGTGGGAAGTCAGAAGAGAGGCAGGCAGGACTGTTCCTGATCTGAAAATATTTGGGGTTTCTGGATGATGTATGCATTACTGGAAAGGGCACATTGCCCATTGTGAACTGTTTAGGTTTGCAGACCCAAACCTAGTCGCACAGGACCTGGCAGGGCCCGCAGCTGCCTGCCAAGTGAGGCTCAAGGATCCACCAGAGGGAAATGAAAGGGAGGGAGAGATTGGGGTTCATGAACCCCACTGGCCAGAGAGCTGGACACTGCTCACTTTGCAGGATTCCAGTGGCCACTCCGAGGGAGGCCTCCCATTCCACTGACCTCAGGCTTGGCTCCTGGGACCTGCCTGGGCTCTTAGCTCCACTGCCCCTGCCAGCCACCTGGGGCAGAGGGAGCCCTGCTGAGTCCAGCCAGGAGCCCCTCAAAGTCTGCACGCGGTGGGTCTCCCTGGGAAGTGGTGGCTGGGGAGGGGGGGGTCTGGTTGGAAATGGGAGTTGGAAGTTTCCCAGCGTGAGTTGAGCGCTGACGGATTTGTGATCAGCAATAAAACCTGCGTGTTCAGATTCGTAAATCAATCTCGCCTCTCTCACAGTCTAAACGCTGGCTTTATCGGCGGCGAGAAAGCGCCCCGCTCGCACTCTAGGGCTTGTTTATTTGGATGCGGACATTCCCAGGATCTGAGAAGAGTGTGGGCATTTTAACAGGGCCTGCTGGCGCAGTTACACGTCCTCGTTTTGCTCTTCTCCTCCTTGAAAATCACTTCTTGCTTTCATACTGTTTGCTGTCTTTCCATGTGCAAAGATTTTCTTTCATTCGCTCTCTTTTTCTCTCTCTTGTCATTTTGCTTTTAGACTTGAGTGTTTTTCTTTGCGGGAACCGCTTTTAATGGGTTGGTGGCCAGGCTTGCGGTGGCAGGGAGCTGCCATTGCAGGAGCTGGGAGCCGGGGCCCACCTCCGGACAGGCTGAATTCAATACCAGTCTGTGTTTTGTATCTGGACAATCAAAGCTGGCCGGGCCACCCCCCCCCAACTCCCAGAGCCTAGGCCAGCCGGCGCCCCCACCCCATGGGGACGGGGTAGGAATCCAGCGCCTTGGGCAGGGGGCCTCCAGCGCTGCTGCTTCTAGCTGCCCCTCTGAGGCTGACCGAGGCAGAAGTGGCTGTTTTTCTGGCATTTGTCAAGGCCACCACCAGGTCCTCAGTCTTCTCCCCTCTGTAAGTGACTTTCAGTTGAGACCCCTCCAAACCAAGCAGAGGAAGGGACCCTCACCGCTGCCCTCCCCTACTCTGAAGAGGTTTGTTCTTGGACTGCCCGCCTGCCTGGCAGCGGCTGGGATCCCACAAGCCAGGGGGCTGAGATGCGGCTGGGAGCGTGCAGCCAGGAGCTTCATTCGGAATGTGTCTTCCAGGAATGTGAGGACTACTGCTGTGCTTTGTGCCCCCACCCCCACCCCATGCCCCGTCCCGGGCTCTGTCAAGTTCTGGGGGAACTTGGTGTTTTGTTTGCTTTCATTTATATTTGAGTTGAAAGTGTGTGTGTGTGTGCACACATGAACACATAGGAGCGCGCTGTCGCATTTGTGTCCTGGAGGGCCGATTGCTCCCTTCCCCTGACATTGACCACTTCCCTGGCTCTCCCATCTCCCCTCAACTCTCCCTTGCCTGCCTTTGTCTGGGGATTAGAGCTTGGGGTACTAACACCTGGGAGTTAGGGACCCGGTGGTGGGCCGGCTTGCTAGACTTTCCCGGCCTGTTCCCAAGCTGTGTGTGGTGTGTTGAGGGTAGGGGGAGCTGGGACAGGCTATGACCCAGCAGAATGTGTGTGTTGTGTGTGTGTGTGGGGGGGGGGTGGGGGAGATCTGCTTGTTCCGTTCCTCAGGCCCCAGTGGGGTGGTCTTTGTCTCTGGAGTTGGTTTTCAAAGGGCCAGGAGAATTTGGTCCCTGCGGTGCTATCAGCATCACCAGGAGAAAAAGTCCCCCTTGTGGTTATTCTCAACTCCGGCTCATGCCTGTCCCTGTTCTGCCCCCTCGGAAGGCGCCTGAGAAAGAGCAGGCAGAGAATTAAAGCCAGAAGTCTCGGTTCTTTTTATGCATCCCCAACAAGGACTTATCAAGCATTTCTTTTCAAGAGGGTCCTTTCCGAAATTCTGTTAGCTGTTTAAGGAGAGGGACAGTGAAGACAGATACCCCGGGAGTGGGGGTGGGGGCGGGTAGAAGGGCATGTTCCTCCTGCGAAGGGTTGCGGATGGAAAGCCAGGGGCTCGGAGATTCAGAGTCGGGCTCTGCGCCCACCGCACCCCCGCCCCCACCCCCAGGAGCCCCTGCAGACTCTTCCTGCACCTAGAAGAGCTAGAAGCAGAAGCAGGAGGAGAAGGGAGAGAGGAGAGGTGGGCTGTGGGTAAGTGTGTGGGGGGCTGGCCAGGGCGCTGTGGTGACCAGAGATACGGATGGGAGAGAAGGAGGCCTCGCTCCTGTTCCATTGGTGGGCTGGGGAGGGGGAAAACCTATTTTGCGAGAAAATTTCTCCTCCTGAAGGGGAAGGTCATAGTGGTCCTTTGAGCCTGAAATCGAAAGACCCCCTTCCCCCTCCCGGTCACGTGATTCATTAAATAATTAATGCCGAGGTTGCAGAATAGATATGTATTCGTCAGGAAAATCGCAGGCTTGGTCTCCCTGTTTCTGACGTGCAATTCAACTGTCCTTTGAAAAACAAGCCTGTACCCCGAGAAAAAAAAAAGAGAGAGAGAGAGAGAGAGGGAGAGACTGAGGGAGAGAGAGATAGAGAAAGAAAGAGAGAGAGAGAGAAAGGGAGACAGCAATAAAACAGCCCCACAGCCGGAGCCACACCGCGGGCTGGGGTATTGTAAGTAGAAAGAATTTCTCACTACCTACCGCGTCTTATATGTCCATGTAAATTTATTGTTTGTTATTAATGTTATTGTCGTAAAATGTGACAAATAGCCATCTTCATTTCCTGCCATTTCTCTGCACATGATGCTCTGTGTTTATACCCATTGAGGCATTGCATAGAAATTTTAGGCATATTCCTCTTCTTTCTCTCTCTCTCTCTCTCTCCTTCTCTCTC